ACGAAGAAGTCTGACTATCTAGTAGGTGGGTGGCCATGCGTTCTTTTGAGATCATGTGGAATCCAGTTGGTAATGCCTCAAGTCCAGCAGTCATCTTCAAATTGCAGTATGTGTCCAGCCCATCTGATTTTTAATGCCTTGGCAAATGAGACAGTGTCCCTGATTCTCGATCATTGATGGAGGTCAGTACTCCGAATTCCTTCTCTCACTTGAGTGAAGCGTGATACTACAAGCATTTGATTCCTCTTTGGTTGACCTGACTAGCGTTCTCATCCTGTTTTCATAAGGCCCAGGTCTCTGAGGCATATGTTATTGCCGGGAAAACAGTGGAGTTGAATAGATGTGCCCAGAGCCGGAGGTTCTTCGTCCTCTTAGCTATTTTTTCGACGGTCTTGAAAGCATTCCATGCCTCTCTCTTCCTCCTGAGCATCTCAGGTGCCAGGTTGTTCAACACATTGAGTTCTAGACTTAGGTACACATAACTGCTGCATTTGGAGGTGTTAGTTCAGTTGAGAGCAAATGGAACATTAGGAACGAGTCCATTTCTCATGAGCGTTGTCTTCATGATATTCAGCTGCAATCCGACATTTCCACATTCATGGTCAAAGTTGGCCAGCATTTGGCTGCTTGGCTGATGTTTGGTGTTATTAGAACGGTGTCATCAGCAAAGTAGAGGTGCTGTAGTTGCCCACCATCTATCTTCACTCCCATTCCAGAGGTCTCATGACATTCTCGAGGGTGGCACTGAAGAGTTTTGGTGAAATGGTAGCACCGCGCTGAGCCCCTCTCTTTACTTCGATGATCACTTCCTTGTATAATGGTCAGATTCAGGTGGTGAATCCATAATCCATCTCACGAAGGATCCTGATGTATTGAGTTTGAATGCCCTGTTTGGCTAGGGCTTCATTGACCACTTCAGTCTCAACAAAATCAAAGGCCTTCTTTAAATCAATGAACGTTAGACAGAATGGCATCTTGAACTCCCGAGAAACCTCAATGAGCTTGGTTACTCTGTGGATATGGTTGATCGTGCTGAATCCTTTTCAGAACCCAGCTTGCTCACATGGTTGTCCTTCATCTGGTGTTCTGCCGATCCTATTCAGGATGACTGGAGTGAACAGCTTGTAGATGACAGACAACAGGTAGATCCGGCGATTTCTGCCAATGCCGTGGATGTCTCCCTTCTTGTACAGTAGAAAGGTCCTGCTTGTTTTCCATTGGGATGGAACCTTGCATTCAGACATATAGTGCGTCAATAACCAAGCCAGTGTATTGACGAGTACTGATGGCAGATTCTTGAGGTGTTCGGGTCTGACCTTGTCTGGTCTGGGTGCTGTTCGCTTCTTTACTGACAAAATGGCATGTCAGATTTTGGAATGGAGAACACTGGGAATGACATATCCATCCTGCGATATTTGGTATGTGGGCAGTTGGACGTGGCTATCTAAGAGATCTGAGTAGAAGTCATGGATAATCTTCTCCATTGCCCTTCTGGAAGATGTGATAGATTCATCAGGATGTGGAGGGCAGTCATCTTGCTCTTATACTGGGTGAAGGACAGGCGGGCATTGCGAATACTTTTTCTGGCTTCTGCCTCATCGGCCAGCACTGCTGTTCTTCTCTCTTTGAGGTCTTCCTTCCTGTTGTAACTTCGCTCTCCTGAGTTCTGTGCTTCTCAGCGTATTTGTAGACTGGGTGACTTAACCACTTTCTCTCCCCCAGTGCAACCGATGCTCCATGCCCATTCACCTGGTCCTTCCCTTTCTCTCTTCTTTTCCTCCTTGATTTCTTTCCTTTTTTGTCCTTCTCCCATTTAAACTCTGGGGTCAAGGGTGATGTAGGGATTTCCCTTTAATAGGATCCATTTCTTATCCAATTACAAAAAACATATTTTTAATATTATTCACTTTTGAATTCCATAAAGAATCTTTGCTACTGTTCTGTTTGTTGTTGTTGTTGTTGTTGTTGTTCTTTGGGTATAAAAACCTGTGAGTATTAACAGCTTCTATAGAGATAGTGTTTGTATCTTAGTAGTATAACGTACTTTAATGAAATTAAAATAAATGTATGAATTAGAAGTCTATTTTTACAAGTCTATTTATAAGAAACAGATATTCTTGAAAAGCAAATGAACTACTTTCTACTTTCTTCGTTGGTTTCTAGTAATGATCATAAGATCATTATTTTTAATTAACATACATTTCCATAATTGCCTCTGGAAAAAGATTTGAAAAAGTCAGGCAAGTTCTATTGAGTTCCTAATATGTGTTGATATTTTGGCATCATACTTGCCATCACGGTTCAACCAGCTGCCAGTTTAATAAAAGAAGCAACTAATTTGTTTTTAACTGATTATTTTTTATAATTACCCAGAAAAGGGCATATTACAGGAAAGAGCAATTTTATAGCTGGTAGAGCACTTGCCTTGCTTGTGGCCAAACTGCTTTGGTCCCTGGGACCTCTCCCTCAGTATCTCTGTACTATGAATTACAAGAATCACAATGATTACCCTCACCCTGGAACCACCTCCAAATTTGAGAATTCCCAAGTCTCCCCTCAGATTTGATAATCCAGTAAAACATAGCAAAACTATTTTACTCACGGTCATATTTCCTTACAGTGAGAGACAGGCTGTGGGGGTGGGAGGAGGGAAACTGGGGACACTGGTGGTGGAAACTACACTGAGCAAGGGACGAGATGGGTATTGGAACATTGGATGATGAAACCCGATCATGAACAACATTCTGACTGTGTATAGCATGGTGATTTAGTTCAAAAAAGAAAACAAATGTCAGGATTAGCACTTGATTTAATGTATTTTTTATCATTAATAAGCCATATTTCTATCTTGCTATTCTTTGTTATTACAGCAAAAATTATTTTATGCAAAATGCAATAAAGTCAATAGTGGGGGAAAATGTCAATAGTGGCCCCCAAAAGTTTATTTCCTCTACACCTATTGATACCATATTGCTCGAACAATTCGATGAACTATGGGAGGACAGTGCTACGTGCAATGTATACATATACAGTCTATATTTTTTTTCTCGATTTTTTCCTATATCAACTGACTTGTTAAAAAAATCTAACCTATGTTTAGCAATTTTCACATGCATTTAACTTTATAATTTCTTTTTGGTTTAATGTCAGATTTGGTGGCATTTGGTCTGTTTTATAGCAATTAGTAATATTTTTCTTTTTTATTGGGATCATACACTAGTGGTGCTCAGGGATTATTACTTGGTTTTATGTTTACAGTGGGCTGGAGTGATAGCACAGCGTGTAGGGTGTTTGCCTTGCACTTGGCTGACCTGGGTTCGATTCCACGGCCCCTCTCGGAGAGCCTGGCAAGCTACCGAGAGTAACTTGCCCGCATGGCAAAACTTGGCAAGCTCCACGTGACATATTCGATATGCCAAAAACAGTAATAAGTCTCACAATTTGTTGTGAGACGTTAGTGATGCTAGCTTGAGCAAATCGATGAACAACAGGAAGACAGTGCAACAGTGCATGTTTATAATATTGCTCTTAATTTTATTTTTCCCCACTTTCTTTAAACATTTGATTTACAAAGCTGTTCATGATGATGTTACATGCACTTAATATTCCAATCCCAATCCTACCACTAGTGTCACCTTCCCTCCATCATTGTCTCCATTTTCCCAATCACTCCTCAAGCCTGCCCCTGTAGACACCCATAATAATGTATTTTACATTGCTTCTTACCACTAAATGGCTAATGAAATGATCAAAAAATATTTCTGTAGAAAAATCACTGTATCACTGTATCACTGTCATCCTGTTCATTGATTTACTCGAGCAGGTGCCAGCAACGTCTCCATTCCTCCCAGCCCTGAGATTTTCGCAGCCTCTCCTTACTCATCAACAAATTATATATATATATATATGTATATATACATATACATATATATATATATATCAGAGAGCCCAGCAAGCTACCAAGAGTATCCCGCCCACATGGCAGAACCTGGCAAGCTACCTGTGACGTATTTAAAATGTCCAAAACATTAACTGTAACGGTTCTCATTCCCCTGACCCTGAAAGAGCCTCCATAGAAGAATATTTATGAAAATTGTATCTCACCACGTGGACATTAAGTCCTTGTCTGAAGGTTTGCTACAATGTTGCAAGTTAAGTTTGTGTTAATGTTTTTGTGAGTCTAAATTGGTTGGCTTCTGTTACATCCCACTCAATCTGGTGTGCTCCTACTGGGATGCTGGTGTTATAGAGTTTGTTGGTGTTGCCTCATAATATCCAGAATATGAAACTGGGCAGCCAGCCTGAGGCATGGCAGTGCCTTTAGGGTGAATGACAGGTTTTTGTTAGAGTAGAATATGGCCAGCCCAGCTCTGAGATTGCCCCAATGGTCTCAACTGAGAATAGTGTCTCTGAAATTTTTGTGGCTAGCTGATCTCTTTCTAGGTATTTTTTAATGAGTTGCTGGAACAAGGAAGGTAGATGAGCTTACATGGCTGCAGTGGTGGTACGTGAGTGTAGTTGCTAGGTCTTCTGGAAGTATGAAGTAACTCCACCACCATCCTAACTCCAAGATGGGCAGTGCTTATTATTGATTTTGCTCTCAGGGTTCACTCCTGGCTGGTTCAGGGGACTATATGAGATGCTAGGTATCGAACCTGTATCAGCAGCCTGCAAGGCAAAGCACCTCAGCTGGTTTTATAATCCCACTAGCTACTAGTTTTTCTTTTGTTTGTCTGATTTAATCTAAAAATTTACAATGGTGGTCTTAGTATTCATATCACCAGAAGCAAAAGCTTACTTGAGTTATCAAGATCTGCACGTGCTTTTTGTTGGTCACAGTTTACTGCTTAACTTTAATTTGAGGTATATTAGTTATATGACTGTGTTTTTCTTACAATTAAACTTTGTAAATGATTTGTGATATTTTTAAATTGAAGGATAAATACTGAGAGAAAAGGAAGTAACATAAATAAAATGATATATATATATTTTAAAAACAGGTGATCAAGAGATACAGAATGGATACTATTGCTTAGTGTATAATCTAGTAAAAATGTCGTGGGAACTCCAGGATGCTGAGGAACACAATGGACTTAGAAACAAAATCTGGCAAATATTACAGAAAATAAAAGATGAAGATAAAAGTGGGATAGCCCAGAGAGCAATAAATATAGCCAAGGTAAGATATGACAGAGGGATATATTGTTACTAAAATCATCCAGAAATATGTTTATCCTTTCTAAGAAAAAATATGTTCATATTTGGTATCATTAACTACTGTTGACTTTAGCATTTAACATCATTAACAATGGTCTAATAAAAATATAGTTAAAATGATTCATAGTCCTTTTGCATAAACTGCTTGAGTTGGTTTGGGGGCAATGAACTTTGAATCTATGCCTTTGGAAGACATTTATATGAATGCTGTTCAGGCATCTCAACTTGTTCATGAGAGCCTGTGTATGTGCCTAATTTTCATGCTTTCTTTGAATAGTGAGTTAATTCTCAAATGTCTATGAGTATTAATTGTAGCACTGTAGCACTGTCCTCCTGTTGTCCATCAATTTGCTCTAGCAGGCACCAGTAACATCTTGCATGTGGTTCGATCCACTTCAAACACCTGTACCACATGTGGGCCCTTGAGCACCACAAGGAGTGATCTCTGAATATAGAACCAGAATCCCTGAGCACCTCTGGGTGTGACACAAACTATTTAACAAACACCAAAAAACCCCAGGGGCCATTCTTTTTGACTTTTGATGAACTTGGCTGGTTCTTGGTCCAAGAATCTGCTGCTACACAGGTCCATAGTGCCATGCTAGTGGCATACTTTGAAGTGCTGCGGTGGCCTTCAGAGCTCTCCCCTGCAATGCCTGGAGGAAAATGTGACCAGGCATCAAAAGGGGGCTATCCAAATGAAGGCATGTACTATATTACATCTTTGTGGTCCAGAAGACATTTTTTCCCATCACCGAAAGTTCCCATTTCTGTTGAGTTTCACACTCAGCGATGCTCAGGGGTTACTCCTGCCTCTACCCTCTGGATTATTGCTGGTGGTGCTTGGGGGACCATATGGGATTCTGGGAATTGAACCTGGGTTGGCTGCATGCAAGGCAAACATGCGACCTGCTGGGCTATTGCTCCAGTCCCCAGTTTCACATATTAAATTATATTATTTATAAGTATATTATATTATAAATGTCACTGTCACTGTCACTGTCACTGTCCTCCTGTTGTTCATCAATTTGCTTCGGGTGGGCCCAGTAACATTGTGAGACTTGCTACTGTGTTTGGCATATTGAATACGCCACAGGTAGTTTCCCAGGTTTTGCTGTGCAGGTGAGATACTCTCGGTAGTTTGCTGAGCTCTCCGAGTGGGGTAGAAGAATCAAACTCAGGTCGGCCATGTCGACGGGATACAAGGCAAACGCCCTACTCGCTGTGCTATCGCTATAATGATATTATATTATAAATACTAATTAATATTTATTATCATGAAGGAAGATAGCTTTGTGTGTGTGTGTGTGTGTGTGTGTGTGCGTTTTACCAGTATTGAAACTAAGACTTGTACTGAGCAAATATGCTGAAGCATCTGCTCAACTACTGAATTATATCTCTGGATCTTGATGCTTTCAAAGTCCTGTTTTCTATTTTCTAATAACCAATAGATGTGCGTTAACATTATGAAGAAAAAGAAATAGTGAATTCATTTTGCCTAATTGATGGTCAAGCATATGAGTGGGCCAGTGCAGTAGAAGAAAAAACACAAAACTCTTTGCTCTGTTTCCATTTTTACTTTTTAAAATAGAATTTTACTTCATTGTTTGGGAAAAACAACAAACATACAGGGCAGTGTTGAGAGTCCTGGTCCTGGTACTTGGGGAGTCACTCCCTGCCAAGCTCAGGCATGTATTGATGGCAATCAAATGAAGGTTCCTACAAAGCATGCACTCCAGTCCTTCGAGCAATTTCTCTACTTTTCAGTTCTCTCTGTCTCTCCTCTCTCTTTCTCTCTTTTTCTCTCTCTGTCTCTCTGTCTCTGTCTCTCTCTCTCTCTCTCTCTCTCTCTCTCTCTCTCTCTCTCCATCTCTCTCAATTTTCATTTGGTTGCAGTGAAATTTCATTCTAACCTTATATAGGTTCCAGGATGTGTCATTATAAGACAACATAAGTATATACAAACGGTTATTTATTTATTTATTTGGCACCACACCTGGTGGCCTGCTGGTCTCAGAGATGCCTCCTAGCTCCAGGTGTAGGAGTTGCTGCTGGGTGAGCTCCAGGAACTCAGCAGTGCCTGGGACTGAACTCATCCCCCCATACAAGCATGCTTGTAGTCATGAAGCTCTTAAATTCACCAGTAAGAGTCCTGAACCATTCTCCTGCATTCCCATATTGCTTCCATCTATTTAGTAATTTCCCTTTTATAATTTTGGGTCTTATTGAACTCTCTATGTTTTAATAGCGAACATAATTTCGATTTATACTTTTTAAGGAGGTATTTAAAATAGTGTGTCTTTTATCTGGATTTTTAATGTTTTTCATAGAAAAGAACAGAGAACTTCCTGCTTGTTTTTGAGTTTTATGAAATGGGCTGTTTTGCAACCATGTTTCAGTTTTGGTCTTCATTTTTGATCAGGGATCACAGAAAGGAAAAAAAGAATTATAATATCTACCACACTTACAATCACTTTAATTCCCAGTACATTCTCTATTAGGTTTTTAGGAAATAAATCCTCCTTAGTTTTATATATTCTCTGAGCTGTATTGTTGAATTAATTTCATGGTGCTTGCTGGAGATTAAAACAAGAAATAAATTAGGCTGCAGAAAGAGCTTCATGACTACAAGCATGCTTATATGGGGGGATGGGTTCAGTCCCAAGCACTGCTGAGTTCCTGGAGCTCACCCAGCAGCAACTCCTACACCTGGAGCTAGGAGGTGTCTCTGAGACCAGCAGGCCATCAGGTGTGGCGCCAAATAAATAAATAAATAAATAAATAAATAATCCAAACAAATTTTCAGCCAATTTTCTTCTTATTCATTACACCCAGTTTTAAACTTTTTAATTCTGTTTCCATGATTTGTTCAATTATTTATATTATTCTATGGTTTTGTTTCAATTTTCATTTGTCACTTTATATCTCAAATATTGCAAATACTTTAACTTAATATGTCACCTCAAATTTGTAATTTCTATAATTATAACTATTTATATCCTTATTTTTAGGGGCAATCATTTACTTTAATGTAGTCTTTTTTCAAAATTTTGGTAAATATCTATAGATAATTACATTTGAAATTCATAAGTCAGTTAATCAGACAGCAAATATTTTTTAGAAGCTAGATAGGAGCAAATACCTCATTGCTCTAGCATTCAGCAAAGAGAAATAATAAATAAAGCACAGTCAATGGATTTGCTTTTATGCTCTATGAGAAGAATTATAAAGAATGGTTTCACTCATTTTAAATAGCTGTGTAGGAAAGACATTTTCCTCAATCTAGATTTAGTGTGAGTGATAAATTTTATTTGAATTAGGTAGATTAAAATTATGACAGAAAACCTAACTAGAGATATAGAAACTTGTATCTTTGCTTTGTTTTTATTTGGGGGCCAGAATAGGTGATGCTCAGGGTTTACTCCTGGCTCTGAGCTCAGGAATTATTCCTGGCCTTGCTTGCAGCATCATTTGTATTGCTAGGGATCGAACGTGGGTTGGCCAGAGAGCAAGGCAAGCACTCAATCCACTGTACTATTGTTCCAGGCCCTAGAGAAATTTGAATGTTAAATGATAAATATATGATTACAGATTAATATAATGCATTATATATTTTGACTTGAGATATCACTTAACTAAGTTTGATTTCCCTGAATAATAAAATACTAAAAGAAATATGCAGAATTCTCCAGCAAAATTAGAAAAAGAGGGGAAATAAATATGTGTACACTGAGTAGTTACAAAATCTATTTTTCTATACCCAATTTTTGGAAGATGTAGAAAAGCCAAACAATGATTTTACATAGTTAATTTTGATATTATGTCCAGAAGACACATTATTCATAAAAAGATTATGAATGACACACACATATGGAATATGATAAATGTAACTAGTTCCTTTGAATTTTATGGAGTACATAGGATTTCAGATGTTTGTTTTCTATTCTGTTTTTCTTGTACTAAATATCCGTAATGTTTAAGTAATACCTGAACTGGAAATGTAAATGTTCAGTGTAAATGTTTTAAGGGGTGATAATTATACAGAACCAAACTTTATAAAAAAACATTAAAGAGAAACTTGTAAACATTAAAGAGAACCTTGTAAAAGGAAGTTATTGACTGAGTTGCCTATTTGGGATTGAGCAGCAGAAGGAATTAAATTTGAAAGGCATGTCTTGGAAATATAGGAATGGTTTCATAAAAATAGATACATAATATAAAGAAATTAGGTTGGGGAGAATAGTGTTGATGATTAGTAAATTTTCACAGTTTGCTAATATATGATAAATTAATGAAAATATTTTTCTATGTAATTAAAAATAATAAAAAATCACCTTCAAACTTACAGTCTACATGATACATTTCTCTGTCTCTGTCTCTGTCTCTGCCTCTGTATTTGAGCCAAAATGATGATGCTGAGGGATTACTTTTGACTTTGTACTCAGGTATTACTCCTGCTGGTACTCTATATGTGATACCAGAGATCGAACTAGGGTCAATCACTTGCAAGTCAGGTGCCCACCTCCTGTACTCTCTCTCTCTCTCTCTTTGTCCCCAAATTCTCTCTTTCTTTAGCATCTGATACATTTTTTTTAAAAAAATACAAATTTGGTAAGCAATTCTTTAAATGAACATTTACACTTAAACTAAGATAATCCAGCTCATGACTTGCACACCATCAATCTTCCCCTCCCTCCCAATTTTATTTTATTAAGCACAATGAATTACAAAGATATTCATAGTTGGGTTTTCAACATGCAATGTTCTAATCACCAATCCCGTAACAGTGTCCACTTCCCTCCACCTCCACCTAATAAAACCCCTCCCAACCCTCTCCAAGTCCTGCTTGACATCTTTTAGGTTTGATCAATAATTTGGGTCTTGCTATTTCAGTGTTGTTGACTCTGTGGTTTGGATATTTAGCTCTATATTTCTTAATAATATCACTGATGTACTTTAATA